AACTTCCAGACTTGCAGAAACAAACCTGAACATGCCCTGTCCAATACCCACAATTTTATCTAACAGGGGTGTGCCGGTGGGCCAAACCTTTGCAAGCAGCTACTGAACAAACAAGAAAGCTTAACCACTAACCTCAACCGACCCACACTGTACAAGCTTCCTTCCAGCTGTCCAAGTTGCCCAAATCTACACGTAAAACCTCATACAGATCTATGTATTTTATAGCATGAAAACTTTTCTATAATAGCTACTAACGAGTCATCAAATCACCAGTCCTGAAAAAAGTGCTTTTAAAGCCAACTAACATGAACAAACCGCAAATCTCTTAGGTCATGATACAAATCTTTTTTTTAATTTTGTCTAGTTACTTCTTGTGTTAAAGTTTAAAGAAATATATTTTCCAGGTACCCACACTTATCTAACATCACCTTGACTCAAATAAGACAACAGGCTCAGAAATTATAGCTTTGCTTTCACTTTATTTTCTACAACATATGAAAACTGTTTGTGGTCACAGACCAACACTTATTTTTTGTATGTATCAACTGTTTTTTTAAAACTGTAAATATATCAAACAACATCTGATTTTTTTTTAAATTCCAGATACCAGGAACATGTCCTTGGTATTTGGAATTCTTTAGATGCACTTTAGATGCACTTTTTTCTGTTTCATGTGAGGTGGATGTTAACTTAATTGGCTTTAACAAAGGATTCATAAAGGGAGGTGAGACGAGACTGGAGGTCCTGAGCATATGGGTCCAGCCTTTCCCTCAGCTCATCAACGTAGGGGGTGGCCATTTCTTTCACCTGCTGGGCTCTCTGTGCAATCTGACTCTGCACCCGCTCAGTTAAGGGGGCCACTTTTTCCTTGAAGTCTTGCAGATGCTGGTCCACCTTCTGCTTCAGGTCATCAGTGTAGGGACCAAGCTGAGTCTGCAGGTCTTTCATGCTCTGCTCCAGGCTGGTCTTTAGCTCTTCGCTCTTCTGCGTCAGGGTGGTCCTCAGGGCCTCAGTGTCCAGGGAATCTGTGTAAGTGGCCACCTCCTGTTTGAGCTGCTCAACCTTCTGCTGGACCTGTGTCTGAATGTTGTCAGTGTAAGGCTCGAGCCTCTCTCTGACTGTACTCAGCTCTTGGATCACACGATCTCTCAACACATCAGCCTCTGTTGTGACTTTGGTGATCAGGTCCTGGGCTGTAGGTGGAAGCTGCTCCTGGAGGGTGACGGCATACTTGTTGGCAGCATCAACACTTTCTGTCAGGCGGGCACTAGATTAAAATAAGAAGAAAAAAAAAAGATAATGAATACAAGGCAGCGTAGTTATATTTCTAGCTTATCCTGAATATTTTAGGCAATACTATAATTTGTTGTCTGTTAACATAATTAGCAAGTTTTGTATGATCTACCTGACGTCCTGTCCGAACTGAGATGATCTAATCATCTTCACGGTTTCTTCAGCTGTCTGTGTAGCTTTGGCAACATAATCCCAGAAGGCATCAGTCACCACCTCCAGCTGTGGCTTGGGTGCATCAGCATAAAAAAGGTTGGCATTGCAGCCTGTTTAATGGAGACATGAATAAATTCAGAGTAGTGCAGATATTTCAGCTCTGTATATTCACTGGGATTTGACATTTATACAGGTCATATTCACTGATCACCAAAGTTTTTCTTTATCTTGAGCGGAATAGTTGCTAATTATGTATATATGTTCTCATGAGCCAAAATTTATAGTAGAATAATGATTTTTCTTATACTCACCAGTGAAAACAGCTAGGACGAGCACAGCAAGGACCTTCATGGCTCTTAGACACTGTAACAAGAAAAGACCAGTTAGTTACCACAGCATGTTAACAACACAGTTAACAGTCAAAGAAAGATTCTTTTAGCTCTCCATCTTACCTGAGTTTGTTAGTGTATCTGTAAGTCCACTTGGTAGTGCTTGTATTAAACTGGTGAGGAACTGAGGCTTATATAGCAAGGCAGACAGCAATGATCACAAAGTCCAAACATTAGTGCTTTGCTGTCACCTTGCCTCACTCAGCTATCTTTGCTGACATCTTGTGCCAGATAATCCATGCAGCACGCCTCTTTGACACGAATACACACTGAGCGTATACCCCAATATACACAAGCACACATTAGTCATCATTTGTGAGTTGTCCATTAAAAAACAAGAAAAAAACAAGAACACCTATTGTCTTAAATTTAAAAACTACTCGAATGCTGTATTTTGATGATTGACCACTGTTAGAGTGATACAAAATCCATAAGTCTAACCTCAACCGACCCACACAGGCTAGTCTGTAATCACTTAGCTGATAGGTTTTTTCCAAGTCAGTGATAACTCTCTGCCAAGACAGATAGAATCTATTGCTTTAATGTCTTTGTTGTCCTACTTGATTACGTGTACAGTAGGTATTTTATTGTCTCTCTTAGTTTTTTTTTTGCCAGCAACACTGCTTCTGTGTCAGGGCAGTGTTCAGCAGGCCTATGTGTAAGTCTGACCAAAGGTTAGCAGACTTGAGCACTGTCAGCTTGTGAGGGCCAAAGTAGCTGCTGTTTCACGTCAGACATGCCATAGTCCAATTGCCAGAAACCACTTTGGAGTCCCGAGTATTAATTATTTCATTTTTCCCTGTTGTTCTTCTCTTTTTCTCAAGTGTATGTGTATGAAACTTGAATCTCAATTTTACCAGAAATTTTTTTTTTTTGAAAATGGTACCTCTATAAAGTACTGTGAGTGCAGTTTGACTATTTATAAAGCTGAAAAAATTGTCCGACAAAAGTACAAATTAACGTTTCCGTCCAAAAATCCAATAGATCAATTTTTGAAAATGGTCAAACATGAGATTTGCATCATGGAAGCACAACCAACAAATCTGGAGAAACTGTGTGATGCTTTCATGTCAGTATGGACCAGAATCTCAGAGGAATGTTTCCAGCAATTGAATATATGCCATGAGGAATTAAGACAGTTCTGTAGGTACAATAGAATCCAATCTAGTACTAGAAATTGGATAACCAATAAAACTACTGGTGAACGTATAACAGCTACTTAAACAGTATATTGTGATTTGTTGGTGATACCTATGTCATTGTCTTCTAGGTCTTATCTGTGCAGACCTAGAAGTCTGCACAGAGAAGTCATATAATAGTAATAGAAAGAAAGTATACTTTATTGATCCCAATGGGGAAATTCCTCTCTGCATTTAACCCATTCACGCTGTGAAGCAGTGGGCAGCCATTGGGCGCCCGGAGAGCAGTGTGTAGGGACGGTACCTTGCTCAGGGGTACCTCAGGTTAGCCATTCAGTGGATTCAAACCACTGACCTTCTGATCATGGGGCCACCACGCTACCTACTGAGCTGTCCCTGCCTGATATAAAGGGCTCAGGTCTTACCAACAATATAAACAATATCAGCATCAACTGAAACTACCTGTGGGAGAATAGTTACTTTCACAGGTGTCACTTACTTTTCTAAGCTATAGAAAATAAAACATTTTTACTATGGATAGTGACATTTGGCATATTGTATTGTAACTGAATGTAGATTATTAACCTCTACCTTAATATTCCATTAGGGAATTCAAATATCAAACTGTTTCTACCTGTTTTTGACACTAAAAGCAGTACATTTCTCTTTTTAAACCTTACTGTTTTTCAATACTCCTGCAGGTCAATTCATTTTGCACAATTCATGATGTACAACATTATGCATACATCTCATAGACAGGTCTTATTTACAGAAAATTGCTTTTTGCGTGCTTCATGTAAATATGTCAGATATGCTTCCACCCTTAATGATTGCTTGTCGTTATGATGAAAATTTTAAGTCATTCCAGAGAGTTGGAAATAACATTTACTTACTCT